CCCAAAAGCTACATATGGACGGGCCTGTCTCTAACATTCGAGAAGCCCAGGGTTAGAGTGTGAGAGGAGATCCCTGGTCCCCGGCTCCTCCTCTCAGCTCTGGCTCCTGCATTACCCAGTCTCTCAGTGGCCTCCCAGGCATGCCACGGGAAATCCCAGCTCACACCTCCAGATTCTTTTTGCACAGCTGTCTTTTGGCCTTCACTTGGCCCGAGGCATATACCCACTTGTGGCATCATCAGCCCCCGAGAGGACAGATGGATAAAAGGTCTTCACAGCCTTAGGCAGTTGAGTAGGAAATTCCAGGGTCCCAGGAACCCTGAGCAGGAGTGGGGATATGGGTTGTGGGTGGGCACATACCTTTGGAAGCCTGGAATCCTGTTCTTCTGGAGAGGGACACAACCAGAGGAGGACTGGAACAAAGCCCTCTAAAGTGCAGGATCCAAGGGGGGCAAACCCTACAGGACTACCAAGAGTATCTATACATTGTATCTATACCTATGTATATTTCATGTAAGTGAACACCTTGGTCTGGATGTTCTATCAACTGCACACCCGCATTCCACACAAACCCACTGTCACAGATTTCAAGGTTCTAGAAGGCAGGAACCAGACAGATAACATTTTCTCTGCAGAGCACCTGCTTTATTTAGCAGAGATGCCTCTTGATGCTGCAGTACAAATATGATGAAGTCAGTGTCTTATGTAGAAGTCCTTATCTGCAGAAGTGCTTAAAAAGGAGTAAGGGAGTATTTATTTGGAAGTCCTTGTATGAGTGAAGTTGTGTGATACTGTTAAAAAAAAAACAAAAAACAGATGTCGAAAAAATCTCATCAACAAAGACAGAAGATCTGGAGGTTCCTAAGGGCCTCTCTCGCATGGATCTGCAGGCTCCCAGCACTTTCCTCCTCTGGAAACCTTCCTCAAGCTCTCAGTCCAGGCCAGGTGCCCTCTCAGGACTCCTATAGCTACCCCCGCCCCCAACTCCCACAATGCTTCTCACTCGGTGCTACACCCGCTCCTTGCCCATCAGCCTCCCCACTGAGCTGTCGCACCCTGGAATTTGGCACTTGGTAGAGTCTCACTAAATTCTTCCTGCCTGATCAACCAGCATTCAAAGCAAATGCAGTTTTGGAGTTGCTATGATAGCTCTTCACTACCAGGGGCTCTAGGTACTGCCGAATTCAAGCAAAACACTGTTTTAACTCCTGGAAGAGAGAGATGGTCTAAAAATAAATCAAACACCTGAACCCTGTAGCATTACAGAAATGGAGACCAAGCCGGGGGGGGGGGGTGGCGCATAGGAACATGGCATAAATGTACTCTGAAGGATTTAAATGTCATTCATTTTTATTCAACGTTTATTTTTGGGACAGAGAGAGACAGAGCATGAACGGGGGAGGGGCAGAGAGAGAGGGAGACACAGAATCGGAAACAGGCTCCAGGCTCTGAGCCATCAGCCCAGAGCCTGACGCGGGGCTCGAACTCACGGACCTCGAGATCGTGACCTGGCTGAAGTCGGACGCTTAACCGACTGCGCCACCCAGGCGCCCCATGTCATTCATTTTTAAAGTTGACCTCAAGTTACATGCCTCTAGAAAGGGAAACATTTGTTAAAAAGACAGTAACCACACTTTTTCAGAAAGCATTAATCTGCGCTGAGCCCCCATATGTGTTACCACTTCATCTGTAGATTTCAAAGTCTTACTGAAACTGACTGAGGGCACAAGCAACACCTATCAAAAGCTGTGTATACTTATTTGAAGTATGGCACACTATATCTATTTTAAGCAAGGTTAACTATAGGTGGCAGATGGATTACTTCAAGAAAATGGAACGTTATGGAAAAGCAATTGTCTTTTGACAGAAACCACGTACGATATTATTTCTACCTGCAGTCCAGCACTACCGGAAGGAGTGTTAAACGCCGGGCAATAACACCAAAGACACTGAGAAATACTGAACATCTGCAGCGATCTGATGACTTTGTAAATCTTCCTTAGAGGCACATATAAAGGAAAGACACTTCAAGTGGAGTGACTGATTAGTCCAACTATAGAGGTCCCCTGATGGGACGCTGCCTGCCCTCATTCTGCAAGTTTTCTGCAGATGCAGGAGGAGAGGAAGCTTATGCAAAGGGATGGGGTCTGATCTCTGCATCTCCCTCTTCTGTGTTACACCTCTCTCAGCTTCCAACCTCTTCTCTGCTCTGATGGCTGTGTGTGCAGTCCTCACACCATAGACTCAAAGCAAATGCTGTCATGGCTCCATCCCAGCTAGATGCAGTGGTTCCCTTTGAAAGCCAGTAGCTTCTTACCATGCTATCCTCTGAAACAACGGGATAACCTCGGTTGCCAGCAAGGACTTCTGAAAGTCCTCCTAACAGCTTCTGGGGCCCAACACAGGAAGGCATATGCTACACTGTGCCAGCCTGGGTTTCACCCACTAGGGCCGCCATACCTTCCTAAAGAGGCCTAGAGTCAAGACCTAAAAAGGTTTCAGAAATTTCTCACAACGAGAACTAAAAACCAATCTATGGTTTATCTTGTTAAGACAGAAACTTGGTTTCCCACATTCATCCTTTATTTGAAAACTCAAAGCACAGCACAAACTTGGTCTGTTCATTGTGCCCCGAAGCGGCATTTCATACTGACCACCCCCTAGCTCTCCTCCACCCAT